AGGAGGATGAGGAGGGCTGACTTGGTGCTTGGTGATGAAGATACCTGCTCCAGACACACTGAGCATGAGGCACCCCGAGATCAGCCAAAGAACTAAGGTCAAACTACTAAGTGGACCTGAGATTCAAGCCATTTCCTACAGGCACAGACTGATACAAGATATCAATGGACAGGAACCCTATAGACATGTTAGATCACAGTCCTTATCTCAACTCTCTTTCCCAGGCACACAGCACTCTCTTTCCCTGGACAGAGTTGTAAGTAGGCATCCTGTAACCTTGCAGCTCTCAAAGCTAAGTTCTCTCTCTCTTTTCCCATCAAGGCCACAGGCCTATTGCTCCTCCCAGTATTGCCCAGATCCAAGGCAGCCTTGAGTTATGGCTGGATGATGTTATGATAAAGGTAAAGGAGGACCTTGCCTGGGGGCCTTGGCAGATTCCATGGCAGGCAAGGTTGAGGCAAGGTCTGCCCCAGGGGAACAGCAGGAAAGAGAGTGTATGTGGTCAGGGGTCTGTCTTTTAAAGAGGTCCTTTGCATCTGCACGCAGACTATGTACTCATGGAACCCTGGGCTAACCAGGGTACTGCCTGAGTGCATTCTGCCAGGTGACGGGCAGACCAGCATAATTCCTGAATCCTTACAGATGACACCAGTGTTTTTCTAGTCCCCATGTGGGGACTGGTTGCTGGGCAGGTAGAAAGGAGGAACAGTGCCAGGGGTGGGGTGAGGCTCAATGCTCCGCATACTAAAACAGCACCATGTTTTTGGCATGTATCTGAGGTTTAACACAGAAAGCATTGAAAAAATGGTTGACAGAAAAGAAGGCTTATAACCAACCATGTAGCCCTTTCTGAGAGAACCCCACTGATTAACTGGACATAGTGACACAGTCCTGTAACCTCTAGTGACTGGAGGACCAAGAGTTCAAGACCACTTTCACTTACATAGTGAGTCTGAAGGCAACCTGGGGTACATGAGATCCTCTCATTAAAAACTACTAGAATGGTGAGGGATGACAGGATGATATTGTTTCAGGCCTCTGGGGTCTCAGCCCACAACCTCGGTCACCCCAATCACCAGGTGGATTCGAAAGCTTGCTGCGAACTGCATGAGGCTTTATTGTTGTTTAACAAGCTAACCCCATGTTAGCTCAGGTCTTTCACCCACCTGCCATGGTGGATGGTTAGCAAAGACAGCTCGAACCGGCAGCAGAGAGATCTTGTAGGGCAGAGTAAGGGGAGTGTCTAGGGGTAGGCACAGGCTCAGGATTGGTGTGCCTCCAGGCTTGGAGGGCTTGGGCTGTGTTGACTGGCCAACTGGTTGTTATGTCCCATAGGCCCTCCCACGGTGATTGCTATGCTCTGCGTGTCATTGCTGTGCACTTGTCCGTAAAGCACAACCAGAGCCATAAAGCATAGCGCCACCAGCTAACTTCTGATTGGTTCCTTGCCACGAGGCAGGCATCTGACTTCTAGTGACTAGTACAAAGTAATGGCAAGTACGTGTTACTGTCATGGCTGCCGAAATGGGGAGCTGGTCCCTTCAATATAGTCCTTGCCTCCTTAAGGAAACTAAGTCTTTGTCCTATTATGTATCTATACAGGAAAAGAAATTAAAATTTCAGAAAGCTGTTAACAGTCACATATGCAAAGCCCAGGTGTGGTGGCATATTATTTATAATTTATTAAAACTTGCCTGAGGATTCAGAAAAGCAAAGCCAGCCTCAAGCTATAGATATCAAGCAGTGGTGATACTCACCTTTAATCCCAGTGAAACTAGGAGGTGGTGGTACACACCTTTAATCCCAGGACTCAGGATTAAGAGGTAGATGGATCTCTGTGAGTCCAAGGCCACCCAAATCTACACAAGATTGACCCAGCCCTAAAGAGAAACAGCTCACACAAAGATGATCTCAGCACCTGGAATCACACGCCTTTAATCCCAGCACTAGAGGTATATAAAAGATAAGAGCAGGGTCTTCAATAGTCAGTATCAGGCATTCATTCTCCAGCCACATTGAGGATAGGAAGACACTTAAGTTTTAGGATTCTCTAGGTACTATGAGGAGAAGCAGCAGTCTGAGGTTTGGTGGAGCCAGGAATGCCTTTCATTCTGAGGTAGAGTAAGAGCTAGTGATCAGCTGCTTTGCTTTTCTGATCTTCAGCTTGAAGCTTGAACCCCGATATCAGTCTCTGGGTCTTTTATTTTTTTGTGTGTTACACCCAAGCACGAAGCATTACATGTAATAGGTAGGTGCACAGAAGTAGACACATTCAGCCAGCAAATCAAGGTCTCCTCCTCACTGTTATCCCAGATTCTTTGCTCCAGGACACAGGAGAGGGGTGAGGGTCAGGCTGAGAATAGAATCCTTGTTAACTCCTAGGCAGAAAAACAGGGCCAGGGTCTCAGTAATATCAGTTTTTCGGGGTGGGGTGGGGAGGTTGGAGGGCTGGAAAGGCCCATTGTTGATTCTAGATTTCCCTGCCACAATTTAAAGACAGGAATCCACTCCTCCCAGAACAATGGAAACTAGGACTCTTGCAGAGACTGGCAGGCAGCGATGCAGGAGTACAGGGCATCAAGGGTCCTGAAGAACTTGTGCTGTCTCCTGAATACTGCCAATCAATGGGGGAGGGGCGGGCACTCTAGGGCTCAGAGGCCAAATGAGAGGGTGGTGCTAGCCTGACTCAGATGTCTAATCCATTAAAGGCAGGTGTAAGCACAAGAGGGCTGGGAACAAAGCAAATCCGACCTGACGTCACCTGCCTGATGCACTTAGTGACCAGACCCGGAATGCATCATCTGTTCCCTGGGCACAGCTTCCTGCTGCAGGTGCTTCCACTCAGGATGGTGGTGGCTTCCAGGAGAACCTCAGGTAGAGAAGAAACATAGACGGAGCAGTTGTTGCCGATGCAGGAGGCAGGGCTGTGTAGTTTCCGTGCCTCAGTTTCTTCCTCTTTAATAAAAACAGGTTTACACTTGCCCAGGAGAGCTGCTGGCAGCTTAAACGTGCAAACCGCTTGAGATGTTTCACACACGACACAGTAAATGCTCAATAAACGTGAACTGATGTAGTTATTCTTCAGCCCAATCCCTTTAACCCTCTCTAACAGAGGAAATGAGAGGTTTACTACAACCGAGGTCCCTGTGTTTCAACAGGCTTTGGGGGGATGTGGTGTGGAAAATGGATTAGAGAGGGAGGAGGAGGCTGAAGCCTGGGAACCCGGGGAGAAGTCTGCAGGCATCCAGATGGGAGGTGGAGGGACGGAAACTCGAGGTTCTTGGCAGTGGGATTCAGGAAATATTTCAGAGACATTCTCTCCAGGACGTGATAACAGGTTGGGAACGGAGGCTTGGCAGAAGGCGCTGGCTTTGAGGGGGGCATGAAGGTGGGAGGGCAGGGAAGGCAGCAGCAGCAGGGCTTGTCCTGGGGGGTGTGTGGCCGGGGGCTGGAGGCCCAGCCAGCACCGGGCGTGCACAGGCTGGGGAGTGCTTCTGGACGTGGGGGGTCGCTTTCCCGGGCAGCTGGCCGGGGAATCTAGGTGGAGAACGCCAAGGTGCTAAATCTGATTTCCTCCCGGGCAGGCGGGCGTGCCCGGCTGAGTCCCAGTGCGTGCGCGCTCGCTCGCTCGCTCGCTCACCCTGCGCCTGGAATCCACCAGATCCATCCTGCCAGCTTCCCACTTCCTTCCTCGCTCTGCAGTTCTGTCTCGGTGCTTGCAGAGGGGGGCGCCTCCGGCCGGTGCGACTCCCCCAGAGTCTATGCACCAGGGATCAGTTGAGGGATTTAGACGGTACAAACCACCGCCTCGGGCCTCCAGGGGGCGGGACCTCTCCGCCTGAGGTCCACTCACCCAGCCCACTGCGCCAAGCTGTGCCCCGCGGGGGTCCCCACCTGCTCCCGCCTCATGCCTGTCCATGTCTCCACCCTCCTGCCAAGTTACTATGGGGACCCCACAGGATCGCAGACGTGCACTGTCCCCCGCTTCTGAGGATCGGGCTCTTCAAGCTCCCTGCACCCACAAAGCTGGACCACCATCCGCGGAGCCTTCACTCTGTGAGGGATGCGGGATGCCCGCCCGGCTTGCGGTTGGTGGTAGATAACGCGACCCCCACTGGCTTGAGCTCTGGAGTTTTCCATCGCCATCACAAGGGCCTAATTCCACTCGCATTTCTTCTCTTTTAGGGCAGTTTCTTTCCTGACACGCTCTCAGAGTGTCTGTGTAGACCGCCGCTCAGGCTTTGTGGCCCACTTTGCGGAAGTTGCCAGCTACCGGAAGTACACAGAAGCACTCATTTGGGGTCCACCGGGTGTGCAGTTTGCTCGGAGGGTGGGGCGAAGTTCCTTGGCTGTGGTCCATCCTGCTGCATGCAGAAAGGAAAAGGCCAGGAGTTGCTCCTTGCCCAGCCTGGAAAGGTCAGCCACTTTCTGAGTGGTGGGCCTATCCCTGGACAATTCTGATTTATTGGGCAACCTGGGTGTCCCCCCAAGTATCCACGAAGTTAAACTGTCAACAGTTCTTAGTTTGACTAATCCAAAACCTTCTCCTCTACTAAAAGGCCCCCTTCCTGCTCCCTGGGGAGTGGAGTGGGGCTAGAGGCCACCAGGAACTGGAGAAGCCTTTGGGAGCCTGTTTCTTCTTGTTTCTGTCCGAGTTCAGCCTTCACTGGGGGCTGGTTTCTGCCCACGCAAACAGGACTAAACTCCCCACCTCCCTCCCCACCCCAGTCAAGTATGAATGACCATGGCCATGGAACACAGATTCAAGTTACTTCAAATACTGTGTTCCAACATTGTAACAGGTTCATGAGGTTCATATAATAACAGAACAAAGTAGTAGGAGAATCCCGTGTGTGTGTGTGTGTGTGTGTGTGTGTGTGTGTGTGTGTGTGTGTGTGTGATCTGCAGAGCTTGCTATTTTCCGGATCAGTCCTGCAAGCTTAGCTGAATGTGGACAGGTACCAGCCTGACACCCTCATTGAGCCAGTCACAATGCCAGGGACTACATAGGCAGATGCTTCACAGACGGGACCTCTTTGCCTTCACCTGTAGCTGTCACCTAAATAGTCAAGCACCTATCACAGACCACAGCAGCTGTGAAAATGCCACTAATAAATCCAACAATGAGCACATTTCAGAGTGTGTAAACCACATACATTAAATTCAATGAAAGAGGTTTCAATTAAATTCAAATGCTTATTCATTTCCTTCCACTTAAGAAATAAAGTTAAAATACAAAGATTTATTTTTATTTACTAAATCAAAGTAATAGGAAAAGTTAAGGCTTTGGCACTCTGGTCAATGGTAACAATCCCATTACTTTAGCATCACAGCTCACAAACGTATACATGACCCTGAGCAGTTATAAAGTTACCATTTTAACATAATACCAAATATTCATTCCTAATTACAACTTTTATCTAAAATAATTCAACATTACTAGAACATAATCCCAAGGAAGAAGGAAAACAGTAACTTCCCAATGCCCATGAGAAGAGTTTAGTGACTGCCCTTGATTTGGGACATTCTGGAAGAGTTTAAAAGTGCAAGGTTAGGTTAATATGGCTCAGTCCTGTTACCTTTCATATGAGGAGTGGACAAACACAGTGCAAGTCACTCATGTGAGGCCACAGAATCACACGTATAATAGGGGTTATAAAATGACATAATCACATTTGTTAAGAGATTAAATCAGGGGCAGGAGATGTAGCTGAGTTGGCTGGAGTGCTTGCTGGCATATACGATGTCCTGGGCTTGATCTCCAGAAATGTATAAATTGGGCATTAATGATTAAAACATATTAAGGAAAGAAAAACCATGATAACATTTTAGGCTGTTAAGTAACACTAAAGCAATACTTTAATAAGCAAGTCTACAAACAACTGTTCAGGATGCTACTACAGTACCATAAACAGGGCTGGCAGCTCAATGATACACTAACCATCCATGTTCTACTCTCTCTCTGTATTGGCTGGGCCTTCATCGGCATCCGAGTTAAATGTTTTCCACAGAAACTTCTCATTTGCTTTCCACAGGGAAGCCTCCAGCTCATCTTTCCTTTTGGAGGCTGTGGAGCGGGGCACTTTTGTACACAGAGTCTCGATCACTGCCAAGTCAGTGAGTTTGCTGAGACTGTCATCACTCTGCTCATTCAGGATGTCCCAGAAATCTTTTGGCCTCTGCTTTGCTTTTGCCACCGGTCCTGAAAGAACCTCCTTTGGCAGTTGTGTGGGACCTTCCCCATGGCTTTTAAAGAGGTCATTAAGAATAGAGGTGTCACCAAGCAAGCCTTCCACAGGAGTGTGTTCTGACACTGGGTTTTCTACCCTTTTGTCTCCCAGCTTGGAAAGTGGTCTGTTTCTTGAACTGCATGCTCCTGTGAGGTCCTGCTGGTGTCTTGGGGAATTTTCTAGCTCTGTCTCCGGGGTTTCAGACTTGCTGTTTGGACAGAAGGGTATCATGGTGTTCTTGGGTGTGTGACCATTTCTCTCACTGTCAATCTCTTGAATAAAGTTGACAGAGGATTTCTTAATTTTTGCAACACTAGAAAATGTCTTTTCTCCATGGGAACTGTGATTTTGAGATCTGATTGATTTTCCTTTACATAGTTTTGGGTTGTAAACTTGAGACATTTTGTTGGTGGAATCATTGCATGACAAAGTATCATTTGAGGGCCTTTCTTTCGAAAGAGATTGTTTTTCTTTAGCTTTATTCTTGACACTTTTTTCTTCCTTGTGGACAGATCTGATCAACTCTGAAGCAGAATTCACAAAGAACCCCTTTACCTCCGGGTGCTGAAGACTGTAGAAGTCCCTGAGCATTCTCTGTCGCTCTTCAGATGTGGTGCTGGTTACTTGTCTGGCAAATTCCTGCACCGATAACTTGTAGTAAGAGGCCATTTCTTCAAACTGCTTTCTAAGGATTGGGTAGATAAAGCCAGTAGTTATTTTTTTTTGTTGTCATATTTACATTTTATTTTTAAAGAGTACTCTGGAAGCTGTTGAGATGGTTCAGCAAGTACAAGTGAGGACCTACATTCAATTGGAACCCATGTAAGGGTGGAAAGAGAGAGCCAACTCTACTGTGGCTTCCACGCACGGTCTGTGACACATGTGCCTGCACTCACACACTGCAGGGGAGTTGAGAACTTTTTTTTTTTCTTGGCACTGCTCTGGAGACCAGGCTGGCCTCGAACTCACAGAGATCCGCCTGCCTCTGCCTCCCGAGTGCTGGGATTAAAGGCGTGCGGCACCAACGCCCGGCTGAGTTAAGAACTTTTAACGCCCATTCATTAGCAGTGACAAGAAACACAAAGGCAATGCACCGTCCCTTGTTCCTTTGGGACATCACCTTAATTCCACCCTAAGAGAACTTAATTCCACGCCTCTTCCCATTTGCTACCAGAAATGGCCTTTTAGCTTATTAAATCGTCAGCCTTTTAAGTGACTGATTTATACTATTAACGTAGTTCCTGGGAATTATGAGAGCCCAGCAAGCTACTCCTCCAGTCAGTCAATTTATGACTGACATGAGAATCATCATTTATATAATCTGTATTTGAGAATCTACATTGCATTCAAGTCCCATAGAATAATATTGTTAAAGAATGGCTTTGATAAATAGAAAAATCCTGAAAAAAAAAAAAGAAAAAATTTCCCTTTTCCCCTTCTTTCACAGTATAGAATTTCACATGGCTTTTTGTTGAGCTTAAAAGAAAGCTCTGTAAGTGTAGTTTTGTTCTCCAATTGATTTATTTTTAGTGCAGACAGCTAATTGTGGAAGCCAGACACTATTTTACTGAGCATGGTGGTGCATACTTACAAGCCTAGTACTCAAGAGACAAGAGGATAGAAAGTCTGAGGCAGTATAGGCTACATGTGGTGACTGTCTCAAAACCAAAGAAAATAAATAAACAAAAAAGTAAGATCTTATTTGAAGAAGTGAACTCCCTTTATAGAGTAAGACACTAACGAACACTTCTATATGTACATTCACAAATGGACCTTCTGGAACCCTGGTAAAGTGGAAGTAGAAAATTATTTAGGTTCCTTGAGCCACAGACTGCTGCTTTCCACAAGGAAGGATTTGAAGTCTGAATTGCATCTATTCCCTAAACCACATTGAAGTGCCATGTGTCAGCATCAGCAAAAGGACCTAAAGGATTAAAGTAAGGTCATGGGTAGGGCATGAATCCTGCAGGGTCAATGTCTTTATAATGTGAGAGAATAGGGAAAAAGCACAAGGGTGTTTTCAAAAGATTCCAGTTTTGATCCAGACTTAGCAGCATATGCTTGTGATTCCAACACTCTGGATGTGGAGGCAGGAGGACTGAGTTCTTGATCATCCTCGGCTATATGGTAAGTGTGGGGCCAGTCTGGGCATCACAAGACCCTGCCTTATCCATTCCCCACTAACAAGTAAGATAGTGTATTGCTTTGCTGATGCTGTATTTGGGCCGTAAGTTGGGAAATCTCAGAGCTCTGTTATGTGCTAAGTGTATATATACATAATGTGTACCGTATAGATTATACAATAGCAAAAAAGACCCGGTCCCCTGCTTCATGAAGCTCAGTCTAGCTAAGGGAGTCAAAGCAAAACAAGCAAGGCAGAGCATGGTGAAAGGGTAAACTCAGCTTTACTGCCACTCATAGTAGGTATCCAGGAGCCTGCTGGTAGGCAAGGAGGGTGGGGGTGGAGGGGTGGACGACCCCTAGACGATATATAGTGTTCTTTGCTGTCACCTCTACCTGTAGGTAAGGGTGAGCTAGGGACCCTTCAAGCCAGTCCTTAGAGGACCTAGAACACAGCAGAACAGATGAAAATCCAGAAGTGGCCAGCAATCATGGGTCTGTATGGCCAGATGAGAAGGCTGAATTTTATCATATGTACAACGTTCTTAGGGTAAAACAATGTTTTTTTAATGTACGTAAGTAGAAGCATTAAATACTACTGCTGTTTGTGGTTTCCTGTTCATTTATTTCTGACTCCCAGGCCAGGTTACAATCTCTTGTGGTGGCAGCGGTGGCCTAAGATGAGTGCCATGGCTTCTGGGGCTCACTAGTGTCTTGTCACATGTTCCTAATTCAGAGATTCCACACCTGATCAATAGTCATCAATAGACATACCTACTACAACAGTGTATTTCAGAAGGTTTTAAGTGATGCCACAGTAACTATCCCTGCTGTGCTGAGACAGTGTGTGGCCTCACCTGTGACCTTGGGGCAGGCCACCCTTGGGAGGAGTGCTGCTTCAACACTATTTAACCTGAGGAACTTTTGAGTGAATTACACCCATGGCTACACAGAATGACGATTTTTTTGCCTTCCGAATCATTTTCTTGATTCTGGGACTTCCATAGGATTTTCTCTAAGAATTCAGGAAAATGCAAGGCATAATTAAGAATATAAGTTAACCACTTTTGTGAGAAAAAAAATTAGTAGAGTAGCTTTAGGAAGAGAGAAAAGGAAAAGCCAAGTTAGGAATATATTAGCATGTCTATCAGAAGTTATGAGGGTTAAAGTCCAAACCATTTCCCCTCTTGGGAAGGAGCCGGACCACATCTGACATCAGCATGCCACTGGCTTTGCTTTCTGAGGGCTAGACATGCCTAAAGCCCAAGGAAGTCCATCATGTGGCCACTACAAGATACTGCCTTGATTCTGGCTGACTATGATGGCAGCAGGAAGGAAGGGGTGGGGTGACCAGGCAGGTCTTGGCATTCTAATATTGCTCTTTACCTTTTTATCCAGCACAAGACATTCCCTCTCTGGGCTGGGTAAACAATGAAAGGAAGCAAGAAGATGTGGAATATTAATTTGTGTTATATCTGTTTATGTTGTGGAACATTTGTTTAATGACGCAAATATGTACTGCATTCTTTTATGTTGCATTTGTTTAACTCTGTGAAGCTGTGTTACTTTGCCTGTCTAAAACACTTGATTGGTCTAATAAAGACCTGAGCAGCCAATAGCAAGGCAGGAGAGAGGACAGGCAGGCTGGCAGACAGGGAGAATGAAATAAGAGGAGAAATCTGGGAGGAGATCTAGGAGCCAAAGAAGGCAGAGGAATCCAGGGGTCAGCCATCCAGCCACCCAGTCAACCACGGAGTAAGAGTGAAAGTAAGGTACACAGACATAAGAAAAGGTAAAGGCCCAGAGGCGAAACATAGATGGGATAACTTAAGAAAATCTGGCTAGAAATAAGCCAAGTTATGGCCGGGTATTCATAAGTAAGAATTGAGTCTCCATGTGTGCTTTATTTGGGAGCTGCGTGGTGGGCCCCCCAAAAGACATAAAGAGTAAAAAAACAACCAACTACAAGAACACACACTGCTATAGGGACCACGACCCAATTTTCTTTAATGACTGGGGAAATAGAGTCAGCCTTCTAGAAGAATAACTGACCACAGAGAAAAAGTGTGCCCTGCAGAAATCACTGTTGCAAGCCTGCCAGGAAGGACGAAGTGCTGCCTCATGCCAGCTCTCTGGGTTATTGTAGGGCTTGCTGTCCCTTTCCTGGCATCTCAGATACCAACCAGAGACCAAGTGGACCAGACTTATGGGTCCATCTCACCACCTCTTGATGCCATTCTTGGTAACATTAATACCTGTGTGTGGAGATCCCACTGAGCTCCTGGCTCACTCATTTCTTTACCTGATCCTGGAGACTGCCTAATTCCATGTCAGTCCACCCCACATCTCTGTGATCCCAGAACTCAGAAGTTAGGGCACAAGATTCCTAACACCAGCCTGAACTATATACAGCAAATTTCATGCCAGTCTGAGCTACTTAGTGAGCTCCTTCCTGTCTCAAAAGCATTTGTTTGTGTTTTTTAAATAGAAAAGTTCTGCTTTTCTGAAATTCGGATGTGAAGTATGGTTATACATTATGTATTTTATTATGAAGTTATACTACTTCTGAGAGTTGGCCTGAAATCTAGAGTTGCCACAGACAACATACCTACGGATTCCTTTTGGTGTTTCTCCAATGATGAAGGTAGTCTGGTTAGTACGGTAGACATCTTTTTTCTTCTGGCTTACAGGGTGGGATACACAGAGAGGAGAGGAGATGCTCCCGTCACTCGGTGCCTGATCTTTCTCTGTCACTGTGTGTGCATCCACCTTATTTCTGTATGTCTGTAAAAGGGAGGTAAAAACTAAGCCTGATCAATAAGAAAAGGACATCACACTTTTCCCCAGATACTCTTTGTAGTAAAGCAGATCACATTATTCGACTGAAGCAACTATTGGAGGATGTTAGCCTAGACCTTTAAAAGGACAGAATATGGAAAAATGTGGTATTGTCTACTGTCAAGGCTGTGGATGTACTTATTGACACATAGGCTGATAGCTACTATCTTAAGTATAATGATCAATGATTAAATGAATGAAGGTTCAGAATTGGTCTGTCTAGGCAAGGTGTGGTTGTCCACACCCGTCATCTCAGCAATTTGGAGGTAGAAGTAGTGGGATAAGGCATTCAAGGTCATTCTGAAGAACACAGGACTACCAGGCCAGCCTGAGATAATGAGACCCAATCTCACGAAATAAAACAGGACTAGAGATCACTCAGTAGGAAGAGATGCCTGCACACAGGCCTTATAACCAGACCCACAAGGAGGCAGGAGAGAACCAACAACACAGAGTTGTCCCTAAACTACATATGCATGTTATAGCACACACAGGTACCCCATAAATAACATTTAATTTGTGTTTTTGTAAAAGTTATAAAGCAGTTTTTGTTTAATTTCATACAAGCACATTAACTAGAAAAATGAACCATTATGCAACAAAAAGGGAAACAAATTTCTTAAGTTCTCTGTTAAGCTGAAGAATATTCAGCATTTTAAAAATATTGTCAGCCGGGTGGTGGTGGGGCATAACTTTAATTGCAGCACTCAGGAGGCAGAGGCAGGTAGATCTCTATAAGTTCAAGGCCAGCCTGGCCAACAAAGGGAGTTCCAGGATAGCCAGGGCTACACAGAGAAACCCTGTCTCAACAAACAAACAAAAACAAACAAACAAACACACAAAACCAAGCAAACACACACACACACACACACACACACACACACTCACACACACACAGAATCTACAGTTTATAAGTTACAAATAAAAAAAAACCAAACTTCACAATAATTTTATGGGCTGTTTGTTTAGAGAGAATTGACCTGAAATAGTGGGTCAGGGAAAAATATTATGTGCTTCTAATGCCAATGGCAAGTATAGCCAGGTGGAAAGTTCTATTCCATTCCAAAAATAAAAGTAATAGGACAAATTCACAACAACAAAAACATATGGAAGTTCAAAAGTAAAAAAATCAAACTTTCTAGGTTCCAAAACCAAAGAAATGACATAGCAATGAGTGGGAGCCCAGCAGGCCAGGGGTCGGTGTCTGCAACAGGACCTGCAGGGCCTGTAAAGAGCTGGGGGGATGGAAATGACTCAATTCCCAGTAATTAAACAACAACAAACAGGCGGGAGATAGTTTCACTGGCACAATGCTTACTGCACAAGGTGGAGATCTGTATTTGGGGCTGGCTAGATGGCTTGCTGCAAAGCCTGATAACCTAAGTTTGATTTCCAGAAACACGAGGAGGAAGGGAACCAACTTCTGAAAACATATGTACACCAGAGTTTTAACACTCCTATAAAAGACTGGAGTTAAACCTTAGAACTCATCAAAGCTGGGTGTGGTGGTACACACTTGTGATCCCGATGCTGGGGAAGCCGCAGGAGGATCCTACAGCTCGCTGTCCCAAGGAAGACAGGACACATCTGTGTACATACATATACCCACCTGCATACCAGAGATACATGGAGCAGCAACAGCAGGGGCACCGGCGGCGCAATGGAGATGTAGCTTAGTGTTAAAAAGCTTGTCCAAAACACGCAATGCCTTAGTTCCAAACCCAGCCCTCCCCTCCACACAAGAAGGACAGCTGATTCACAAAATAAAGACAGACAAGCCTAAACTGGTATACAGAACAACCTGTCTTCTTACTCTAGACAGAAACAACCACTAGAAACAAAGCAATGGCTGGCTGGTGACAATTGGAGAATCTGATTTTATACATCCTGCTGGTATGAAAAGCTATGCTGAAAATCAACATTAGAAAATTGGCTAAGAACCGGCAAAAATGAGAGTCCAATGACGTGCAAATGCCAAAACAGTACAGGAAGCCTTCCATTATCAAAAGAAGGCTTGTGATTTGGTGGGGAAAAGAATTCAGAAAGTCAAAGAACACTAAAACCCCAACATTGTTAAGCCACAGGTGCAGCCAGGATGAGAACTCTATTGTGGGATGACAGGGAATCAGGCAATCTGAAGGATACTTTAAATTACCTTATTGGGAAATCGTGGGGGAGGGGGGAGAAAAGGAAAAGGAAAAACCCAGCAAGGCTTTTTGTATAAGCACACTTGAGACAGGGACAAATACAAACTTTAAGAAATAAATTTAAAATAAAATAGAAACAACAGATGGGGAGACAGCAAACAGATCTGCAATGATAGTTGATAAACTAGGATAATAAAAACTTCAAACTAAAAAAGGAAAGAGTGTCTTTACTAGGAACAATGAAAATAAACGTCTTCCTTTAGATTACAGATAAGGAAATAGCCTAAAACCTACAGGAGGGAGAGATGGTAGGAGAGAAATGGCAAATGTAAGACTTCTAACTAGTGCCAGCAGAACAAAGCAGGGTAACATCTTCAGCGTGCACACAAGATGATGCTACCTTTAATCACACACCAGTCAAACTTCAGCTTGACAACTGTTTAAGCCAGGCGCTATAGGGCACGCCTGTACTCCCAGCTACTTGTGAAGCTGAAGCAGGACTGTCTGGACAACATAAAGAGAGCTGATCTCAAAAACATAAAAAGGAAATTCCAAATATAAAAAGACTCCTAGAATTTATGGGCTATACATTGTTGATAATAGTGTAATATTTTTCTTTGATGGTGTGCTGGCTAGTTTTATGTCAACTTGATACAAGCTAGTCACTGGACAGGAGGGAGCCTCAACTGAGAAAAATGCCTCAATAAGATCAGGCTACAGGCAGGCCTGTAGGACAGTTTCTTAATTAGTGATTGATGTGGGAGGGCCCATTGTGGGTGGGACCACCTCTGGGCACAGGTTGTGGGCTCTACAATAAAGTAGGCTGAGCAAATCATGGGAAGCAAGAAAATAAGCAGCACCTTTCCATGGCTTCTGCACCAGAGTCTGCCTCCAGGTTCCTGCCCTGTTTGAGTTCCTGTCCTGGTGCTCTTCAACGATAGACTACAATGTGGAAGCGTAAGCCAAATAAACCTTTTCCTTCCCAACCTGCCTTTTGGTCATGTTGTTTCATTGCAGCAACAGAAACTCTAAGACAGGTGGGAATCAAAAGGGAACAAATGGCCCACGTTCACAAAACAAGTAGAGAGTACTCACATGCCCTCCCCCACTTAAAGCAATGGTTTGCAAACTACTTCTAATGAATATAAACAGACATCTTCAGAAGCTATGATGGTGCTCATGAGCAAGAGTTGCCAGGCAGACAGGTGCCATCAAAGCTTCAGTCACACTGGAGTCAGTCACACTGAAAGCTGCTTTGTTAAGGTCATCAGGGTTTTAAATCGATTGAAAATACTAACAATGAAAATACCGACCCTTAAGATAAATCCAAAAGAAATGTTATGTATATTTATTTCCATCAGAAACAAGATGAGGGCTACAAGCTACTAACAGCTTCTAAATCTCCAGATATATTTGTTCATTCTCTTAAGAGACAGGAATGCTAATATGAATGCAAAGAGGATAAATAGAAAAGCAACTGCGTCAGCCAAGAAGTCTCTTTCCTCTTACACAGTGATTTCTAAAGCCATGGAGAGATGGTGCTGGGCAATGGCTCTTTTCAGTTGTTTATATGACTGCTCTTTCTGACATTACAAAGATCATATTTTATATACATTTAAAGAATCAGTTTTATAAATCCTTTGAGAATTCAGCCTTTGCAACCAAAGATACTGGATAAATGGGTCATTAGATTTTCTGACATATCCCACAATTTAAAAGCCAAATTCTTAGAAGGAGAAAAGCCATTTTCCCTTCCCATGAATTCCACATCCTACCCTTCATTATTACTTCTTAAAAAGACATGACTTCAAATTGCTATTTTAGTAGACAATTTTACTACTTTATTGAAATTAGGTTGTAAGACATAAATTTGTATTTAGTCCAACTGTATTATTAAGATTTCAGGAATGTACATGCTGTCACATTTGTACTGAATTATAAGTATGGAATGGAGGTAGTGGATTACATTCTGATTGCTCTATAACAAGTTACCATGGTATTACTGGCTTGAAACAACATAAACTCCTGACCTTACATTTCTGTAGGTATGTCTGACATGGGTCTCACTGGGCTAAAATCAAAGTGCTGGCAGAATTATGTTCCTTTTCTGAGGCTCTAGGGGACAATTCATTTCCATACTTTTCCAACTCCCAGATGCAGAACACAGTCCTTGTCTTCCTGTAACACTTCTTTCAGGGTCACACTACCCTGTGAGCAGAGCCAGGGAGGGTTCTGATGGTGAGAATGAATGTGACCATACTAAGTCCAGCGAGATACTAAGTGTAAAGGATTCTGGTCAGCTGGGTAGTATCCTTTAATGGTATCCATCCAGTTAATCCAACAAGGTCAGCTTGATTCAACCTGAATTGCACCTACAATCTTAATCTTCTGTTGTCAGGCTAAGGTAATATACTAACAAGTTCTACTGAATAGCCATGGGCAAGATCTTAGGGACTATGGGACTTTTCCTTTCTAAGGGTCCTTTGCTAGAGTCCACTGACCCTATGAAGGTTCTACAGAGAAGTTAAGCTCCATTTGCAGGTGTGTATGTGAGCATCCACACGTCTCTGACAGGAAAGCCTGGGACGCTTTCTCATTGGATTGAGGCTTATGTGAGCATCCACACGTTGTCTCTGACAGGAAAGCCTGGGACGCTTTCTCATTGGATTGAGGCTTATGTGAGCATCCACACGTTGTCTCTGACAGGAAAGCCTGGGACGCTTTCTCATTGGATTGAGGCATGTGAGAGCAGAAAGAACTGTGAACTGCTGGTTTACATG